CTGGCAAAGTTTGCTTCAAATTGGTTCAGTTATAGATATATCGTAGATTCCATATATAATTTCGACTTATTTATGTTGAGATTAAATTTTAAACGGTGCACATACCGAATAGCGTGTGTCATGTTTGCTTTAAATCAATTTACACAAATCTGTCCCACTGTGCGCAAACGACTTTAAAGGGCCCCATACACTATAAATCATGTCGTCATGTCAATGAACCCCTTTTTGTATATGTGAGATTGACCAGTGTATGGCAAACTCTTCAATCACTATCGATTCAATCAAAACTCGATTTTTGTCCCAAAAATTGCATTTTGAGCCGTAAATTCAGTTGTTTTTTATTTATTCCGTCACAATTTTATTATTTTTGTACACAAAATTATTTACTGACAACTTTCAAAATGAATATTATTCACCAGATTGATAGGGTTTCATTTTCAAAATCAAAACTATTTTGATTTTCTTTATGCATTGTGTGTGTCACACATACATATATACACTTTCAAAAAATAAAACATACTAAGATAAATTCTGTACGGCATGATGTATAGTGTATGGGGCCCTTAAACTTGCCCAAATTAAATGAAATTTAGCATAGGTTCCAGAAAGACATAAAAATCACATATTTAAATTCGTTCAATTTCATGTCAAAATTCCTTCAAAAAGGCGGATACATATCGACGCCTCCGAACCATAGTATGGTAAGTCTGAAAAGTGAGTTTTTCAGTAGAAGCTTTCAAAGTATGGAAGTTTCTTTAAACGTACGTGCCATGCTAAGTACATTTTGCTTATAACTTTGGTTTGGATTGGCAGATGATTACCAAAATTTCAGTGAATTTAAATTAATGACCGTAGTATCTAAAAACGTAAAGAACTTTAAAACATGCTAAGTCGACTTAGCATACTATGGTTCGGAGGCGTCGATATGTAGAATATACCTAAAGTGGTTAAGGGTATCATATAGTCGGCGCAGTCCGACTTTACTACTTTTTTCACTGGAAAAGTTATCGTATTTGTTATTATTGTTTTATATTTGTTATTGTTTGTGGCAGTATAAGAAATCAAAATTAATCATTACGAAATTAATTATACGTCGTATTTTGACATTTCTACACACCTTGTTTTTTGCCATGGTATAATAATAGAAGGTAACAGCAAGTGTTGTTGTACAAAAAACGATACAACAACCACATAGAAATTTGTTGTTGTAAGTTGTACTAGTGTCAACACATTTGACAGAAAAATGTAAACAAACAAACAAATTATCATCAAATTATTTTTATTTTGAAAATGAAATATTTTCGAATCCTCAAAATAAAAATTGAAAAACATGAATGAAAATCTGTCAAATTTATATTTCTTTCGCTTCCACATCTTTCCTATAATTGAGCCACAGCCATATATATGTGTAACACATATGAAAATGCAGGGAATAGCGAGTTGTTCCTTGAAGAAAGATTTGCTTCCTCAAACTTTCCCAGCAGGAAGATTGAGTAAGTTGAATACGGGAGCACATTTAATAATGAAAAATTACAAATTCTATGCGTTCCCAATTTTCCTGTTGGGTGATTTTTAAAAACATAATTTGTCAAATTCATATTGACACTAGTATTACGTTGGAATCAAATCAGCTGGGACTTGCTGTTACCTTTTATAATTGTACCATGGTTTTTTGCATAAAAAGTGCTATAAAGCGATGGCAGAAACAAGGTCGCCATATGGAATTTCTTCCTTATTAATGTATAAAAATGACTCAGTTATAATCTTATCGACTATATCAGCTGCAAACTTTATTAATTGAATAGCGCTTCTCGGTTGTACAAAATCGATTTGATTGGGTATGTTTGATAACCCAATAATTTGTACGAATTAAAAATATGGGAGATTGCAAATAAATCATATCTACAGATGTGCGTACATTTCGAAAGAGAATATTTTCATTTAAATTTTAAAAGCTGGATGTTGTCAAAAGTAAAATTATAAAAAAATTGGAATCATATGTCTACATGAGACTATCTTGTATAATTATGCCATGCATGAAATTGTTGGCTGCACTACATTTATTGACAAACTGTCAACTGACAACATTCTTTTCGGCATATTTTTCCAGTTAAGGATTTCACCATATGAAAGTACACACATTTACACCAGTTATGGCGATATTCGAGCCATATCTTTTTTACTTTAGATATTATTAAATTTCTTTTTATGCCAGTTTGTTACAATTAAATAATTGACGTTATAAATTAAATATACCAAAGTAAAAAAGATAGTCAGTAACAATGTCACACCCGTCCCGTAGCAATCACCCATATGTATATTCTTTCTGGTAAAATTTATTTATGATTTATTGACTTAATTTTTTGTCCAGAAATTGGAAGATTTTTCTATATATAGGAATCTTTTTCGATTTCTCGTCTATTTATGATTTATTGACTTATGTTTTGTTTTCTTACTGCAATAGTATCTAGTAAAGACGAAAAAAAGTTCTCTTTCCCTAAAATTTACAAATACAAGTTGTAACATCCATGGTTAAATCTTGAGAGCAATGTTCAGCTTTAGAAAATATATTTTGTTTTATTGAAAATATACCAATTGACATACATGAAATTTTATGGAATTTATTTTTAATTTTATTTGAAATTGATATATGAATTCCATATTAAAAATGTGCCAATATCATTTTCTTAAATTAGACTACCTTCTGTAATTATGCCCATGGTACAATTGTAAAAGGTAACAGCAGAACCCAGCTGATTTGACTGCTTAACCAAAAATCCAGTAAAAGATAGTAAAGTGAGAGAAATTTATGCAGTAAGATTTTGGAAACTCAGCCATTTTTGGATCAGCTGTTTTACGACCAACACAAAAATTATTCCACACGTTTTTTAATTTGCAAAGTTCAATATGAAATTAATTTGTATAAATATTAAAGAAAATGGAAAAAATTCGTAAGTAATGCAAAGTTTCATTAAATAAGAAACTAATTCTTTATATTTTTAGGCAAGTTCCAGAAAGAGGGCAATGTATTGATGGAGGAAGATTTAATGTTCCCGGGAAACATACCAAATCTTTTATTGTTCATTTTATTTTTAATATTAAATGCAGTGTTCGTCCTTTGTTTATTTTGGCGCACATTAAAAATGTTTTCTTGAATCAGCTGTTTATTTGCTGAATCTTACTAAATGTTGTCTGTTTAATTTTCTCAGTATTATCGCAAAAGAGAGTAAAAACGGTTTACTCTTTGAACTAGAACTTACTGAGTAAATGTTACTGGAAAAGTAACCAGACACACCTATTATTATACCATGAATTATGCCATGGAAATTGATATATGTGGTCTGTTCCAGTACATTTTTAATAGTAAATCTAGTAAAAGGGAAACATTTCAAAATTGCTCTCAGTGTACAAAATAATTTGAAAAGTTTGGGAACGCAAAACTAGTAAATATGCCAAAATTAGATGGCAATACTTCAAAATCAACATAACAGCCAATCAGAAGTAGGCATTCCTGTTTACCATTTTTACTAGACCAAATTTCTCGAGTAAAAAGTTTACAAAGAGAACGTCATTTTATTTTGTGCTCTCTTAAATTTGAGTCAATGTTTTACCAGTTTTGTGGGTTGAGGAACGGTTCTCGAGTAAAAAGTTGCAAAACATGCAAAATGAGTAGATTCTTTCTAGATTCTAGAACGGAACTATGAATTCCATGTTAAAAGGGTTGCCAACATCTATTTCTCAGATTATTTTAAACCCTATGACGGTACTAAAATTTATTAATATTATTAATATACCCACGGATTTCCTAATTTCGGCTATTAGGGTAAATACTTTTCCCTATTTTAAGTTTCGACAGTCCATTTACAAAAAATAAAATATCAATTCATGGTGTAATTACAAGGTAATGCGTAGCTACCAAGTGATTTTTGATTGAAATGAAATGTTTATGGGAAGGTACGAATACGCATTTTTTATTATTAGAAAACCTTTGATTTCATAGTTTTTGTAAACATTTGCATGATTATATCTATACCTTTGTTTACTCTATGTAGCATGACATTGAAAGATTATTGCTCTAGCTCGTACTTTTATAATTTCCGCCAATATAAATCAAATTAAGCAGAATTTTATGTCAATAAATTGCTATTGATATGATAGCAATTACAGATAAGAAAAAAATAATCTTTCCTAAAAATGGATATAAGGTGCCAAAATTTCGCAATAACAATCAGTTCGATCAGATATTAGTTAAACATTTTCAAAAATGAAAAGTTCAACAGTTTTGCTTTTAGTGGCTTTGATTTGTGGCATTATACACATTTCTTCGGCTGAGTCGGTAAGAGTGTTTTATTGTTTTCATCGTGGGGTAAAGTGTTAAAATTGGGATTCTGTTCATTATTTTTCTTCCAAACATGAGACAATGAAACAATCGGTATTTAAGTGTTTCAAAATTGTCCTCATAGAGCATATAGTTTGCTAAGATTTCGGAGGACGTCTTTCATATCATTTATTTAATTCCATCAGGGTATTTAAATAAATATAAGCCCTGATTTACATCAAATAATTAATAATATAATAATTACTCAAATTTTGTACTTATATACTCAAAATTTCTCAATACAGTTCAGTTACAACAGGTTTACTCTTTACAATTACTTTATTGTTGCTCTAAACATAGATTACGTTGCATTTTCATAGTACCAACAAGAAATAGCCAAATTATAATTTCCAAGATTTTTTTTCGTTTCGTTCGTTTTGGCTAAGCCATTTTATTCAATCAAAATACTTCAATTACATAAATAGCTTAAAACTTACAGTATTCTATAAATAAACATGTTTATGTATGTACTAGCCATGATGTGTACACGACATCCATACTTATGTGTAAGTGCCCAAGAATTTTTTCTGAAACATTCCTCTTATATAGGTTTCTTAGGGTAGAAATGTGGAACATATGGGAATAATTCTATTACGCTAATAGACAGACAAATATATGAACAATGACAAGGGTTGTCACCCTATTTTCTAAACAATAATTATAAACAATTTCATTCGTATATTATTTTTAATTTTTAGGAATGCCAAGTTTGCATGTCCACCAACGATGCCTATTGTGTTGATGAAACTTCATATTATTTGTGCTTAGATGGAAAAAATCCTTCAAAGGCCCAACTGCACCAATGTGATGAAGGACATGTTTGCACAACAAGTGAAAATATTTGCGAACCCAAAAAAGGTGCAAACAACGTTGTTAACAATCCAGTTTGTGGCAGCTCATGTAACAAATGCCCGACAACAGGTCGTTATACTTGCGTAAGTAAAACTCAATTTGGACGATGTGTCAATGGAGCTATAACAATTGTGAGCGCTTGCGAAAAAGGACAGATTTGCAGCGCCGATTTGTACGAAAAAACAGGAGCAATATGCGCCCCACAATGTGTAGCCGATTTCGTAAGTAATTGTCGATCATAAACTAACAAACAATACTTAAATAAAATTTATTTTAATTAGTATGAGGTCACAGCGACATGTGGCAATGCTGATCTGACCACCACTACTACCACTGTAGCACCAATTGATGTGGGACGTCTAAAAGAACAGTGCACGGCAGCAGAAGCTGACCATCCTGATGATATTAGTTACTTTATCAGAAATGCGGATGACGAAGACTGTACAACGTATGTATTATTTAGTTTCGGACAAAAGTCCACACGTGCGGAATTAACTAATTTTTCTTTTCTATCCAGATATATTTACTGCGAAAAATTCGATGATGGAATCGATGCACTTCTGATGATATGCAAAAATGGTTACTTCAATTTGATTGAAGAAAAATGCCAAAGTGAACAACCTGAGGATTGTTCTGCATCAGGTGCTACAACAGTGCCAACTATATAATAACATAATACTATGAAATTATGCTCATATAAGCAAGGTTGTTTTAAAATAAATTAAATTTAGCAAGATATACAGCCTTATTCTAGATATTTGCTAGGGAGATATCTCGCATGTAAAAAATTTTCGCTTTAACATTCTCGCCTTATTCTGAATGAATAGGGAGATGCAAAAAATGCGAGATGCGGATTCGATTTGATTCTGCGCCTAACGACAAGGGTGAGTCAAAAGCTCTGGGTGGACCCAAAAGTGGTCGAAACAGGAAGAAGGTGAAGTCAGTAAAGGAACCATCGTGTCCTGGGGGAGCAGATGTCGGCCCACAGAATAAATCTATGAAGCGCATCCGCTCTTTAGAAGGTCCGCAATAACTTCTCGTCTGGTAGATCCATCTACCTCTTATGCGGCTTGCGTTGGATAACAAACTGCGGAGAAACGACTAAGTACGGAGAAGGCTTCAACCTCCTCTGGAAAGCCGAACTCCAAGGTTCGTAGTCAACGACAGCGTAAGCCGTATGATAGACCAACTAAGGTATCCACTGAAGAAGACCTTCTTGTGGAGATCTTTGGTTGCAATTTGAAGGAGCCCTTCGGTCGGCTATCGTCTGTGGGACGGACCAAGGGGATCGACAGTTTGGTAGTGCCTTCATGCAGAAGGGTGCCAAAGTCATTAACTGTTTAAACAAGAAATCCAAGGCTTTCCTTGTGGAAACCGTTAGTGGCTTTGGCGCGCTCTGGGAAGGAGCAAACCTTTCAGCGGTCTCCCTAGCGGAAATCGCAACAAGACGGATCCTTTCAGCCTGGGTTCCCCACCTTCTGTGGACAAGGAGATCCTGCTGAAGATGCTGGCGCTACAAAACCCCTGCCTCACTACATCGAGCTGGACTGTGGTCAGTCTAACTCCCTGTAGCGAGGATCGTGGTATGGTGGCGAGAGTTTCGGTTGACCCACCAGGGGAGGAGTATCTCAGGGAGCGTGAGGGGAAACTGAACTTCGGTTCAGGATGGGTTCGGTTTCGACTGAACACATCCACCGAAACTCAGTAGGAGTGGGGAAGCGGCATAGGCTGAAATGACGAGGACCTGCAATGTTATAATGGGATGCGACGCAAATGCTCACCATTTTCATTGGGGTAGCTAAGACACAAACAAACGAGGTGAGTCTGTTTTCGAATTTATTTCATCCCATAATTTACTCATATGTAATAGGGGTAGTGATCCGACTTTTAAAGTTAGGGATAGAGAGGAGGTCATTGACTTAACCCTCACAAATCTAGACGACTCCGTCATCAGAAATTGGAGGGTATCTGATGAATGTTCCTTCTCGGATCATTTAAAGATTCTCTTCGAGTTCTCTTTTGTCGGAGGTAGACAACAGCCTTATCGGAATCCAAGGAGAACAAACTGGGAGAAATTCACGGAGCTAACGAACTCCCAGCTGACTCTTAACACAAACTTAGGAACAGCTGTGGAACTCAATGGGGCAGTGTTCTCCTTGGTTGCCATAAGGAATCCTGTCCGCTCACATACCCCGGGAAGAAATCTCGGCCAGTGTGGTGGAACAAGGTACTTGGTGAGCTCAGGAAAGCGACCAGACGACAGTATAACAGGGCGCATAAGTCTAAACTCGACACTGATTGGAACTCCTATAGAGCTAGTTTCAATAAATACAAGAGTGAGATAAAACGCGCGAAGAAAAAGTCATGGGTAAATTTCTGTGAGTCGATAGAAGCAGTCAACGACGCTGCTAGGTTTCGAAAACTACTATCCAAGGACCCGAAGTCCATCGGTAGTATTAAGAAGCATGATGGAGCGTGGACGGAGTCTGGTTCTGAGACTCTAAATCTCCTAGCCGAGACACATTTTCCAGGTTGCAAAGACATGAGTACCATCGACGGTGAACGTGATAACACTCAGCCTTTTGCCACTCCGGATCTGGATCTCATTAGCAAGGTGGTTAACAGAAATAAGATACGATGGGCGGTCAACACATTCAAGCCGTATAAATCGCCAGGACCAGATGGTATTCTACCGGCGATGCTTCAATATGCCTCGCCAAGTAAATATCTGATCCTTGAGAAGATTTATACTGCGTGCTTGACTCTCTCGTATGTTCCGGATCTATGGAACCAGGTAAAGGTTACTTACATTCCCAAAGCAGGGAAACCAAGCCACTCTGCACCAAAAGACTATAGACCCATTAGCCTATCATCCTTTCTCCTCAAGACTCTCGAAAGACTGATCGACCTGGAGATTAGGAGTCGTATAGACCACCTCTCTTAGCAACTCACAACACGCATACATAAAGGGCAAGTCTGTGGAATCTGCACTGCACGAAGTGGTAGGCTATATTGAGAGGAACGTGGAAAATTCAAATTTTACGCTGGCAGCCTTCTTAGATATAGAGGGAGCCTTTAACAACGTTAAAATTGAATCCATAAAACACTCACATAAAGAAGTTGGCATTCCTGATACCCTGACATATTGGATAGATAAAATGCTTAACAGCAGAATTATAAATTCAAGTGTGGGGCATACAAAAATCAGGAAAACGGTAACTACAGGCACACCTCAAAGAGGAATGCTTCCGCCGTTACTATGGCTACTGGTAATTAATATTATATTGAGAGAATTGGGCGGGAAAGGTATCAAAGTTGTAGCTTACGCGGACGACGTGGTGATATTGATTTCCGAAAAATTTCCGTCTACAATCTCGGAGCTTATGCAGAGAGCCTTACTGACGCTGGGCCAGGGCAAATGGTCTTGGTGTAAATCCAACGAAAATGGAACTGGTAATGTTCATTAGGAAGCGTAAGCTCCACCAACACTGGATGGAGTGCAACTTCACCTATCTCCTAAAGCAAAGTACCTCGGCACAATCCTGGACTGTCAACTACGATGGAAAGGAACGTTGAGGAGTGGGCGAAGAGAGGAATGATTGCACTCTATGCATGCAAGAACTCCATTGGGAAAAGCCTTTACAACGTAAACCATCGACTGTACACTACACCTTTTTCAAATGTTATTCAAAACTTTTCAATTGCAATTCGAGAATTTCATTTGTAATTCGAAAACTCAATTTGCAATTTATAACATTTCACTTGTAATTCGAGTATGTAATTTGTAATTCACAACATTTCATTTGTAATTTTAAACTTTTTGTATGAAATTCAAAAAATTACATTTGAAATTTAAAAAATTTCATTCGTAATTCGAATATTTCAATTTGAATTTCGTAGAGTTTCATTTGAAATTCAAAGAAATCCATTTGAAATTCAAAGAATCCAATTTGAAATTCATTACATTTCACTTGTAATTCATAAATTTTCAGTTGTAATTCATAACAATTCATTTCAAATTCATACATATTCCTTTTGTGTTACCAATAATATTTTTCGAATTTAAAATTAACTGTTATGAAAAACAAATGGAATGTTATGTATTTCAAATCAAATGTTAAGAATTTCAAGTGGAATTATTTAAATTTCAAATGGAATTTCATTAATTTCAAGTGGAATTTTATGAATTTCAAACGCAAATACTTGGAATTTCAAATGGAAGTTTATGAATTTCAAATGGAATTCTATGAATTTCGAAAGGTATTCTAGGAATTACAAATGAAATTCTCGAATTACAGCTGATATGTTGTGAATTGCAAATGGAATTCTCGAATTGCAAATTATATGTTGTGAATTACAAATGGAATTCTCGAATTACATTTGATATGTTTTGAATAACATGTGAAAAAGGTGTAGTTGTATAACACTGTGGTAAAGCCCATCTTGTCCTATGGTTCTCTTGTTTGGTGGAACTGTCTGAGCCTAAAGTCGACATCCAGTAAATTAGACAAGGTACAAAGAGCCGCCACGATTTTAGTTACAGGTGCCAGAAGGAGTACGCCACAAGCAGCTTTGAACGCAATGCTGTACTTCAAGCCTCTGGGACTCAGCATTAAGTGTCAGGCTGCGCGTAGCGCCCTAAGGCTGCACGAACAAAAACTCTGGCAGAACTGTACCTTTTGGGCATGGTAGTGTTCTGAATGAACCAGGTATAACATTGGACCAACGCGCTAAACTAGATTTGACGTTGTAGATGTCGTTATTCCTAGTAGAGACGACTGGAAACGAAGTAACCCTCCTCTTGACGTTGTAGATGTCGTTATTCCTAGTAGAGACGACTGGAAACGAAGTAACCCTCCTCTGGACGGTCTGGCCTTCTATACAGACGGATCCAAGATGGAAGAAGGTACTGGGGCAAGCGTCTACTGTGAAAGGTTAGGCCTTGAGTTATCCTACAAGCTGGATTGCAACTGTTGTGTTTTCCAAGCTGAAATCTTCGCGATCTGGAAGGCAGCGGAATTGATAAAAAGTCTAGATGCTGAGGTCGATGAACCGGTGACTATCTTTGTGGATAGTCAAGCGGCTCTTAAAGCCATCAAATCTTGTTGACGGGAACCACCACTGGTCACTGCAACACCAGGGCTTTTACTAGTAAATGGGATCTTGATGCAATTGATTACTGTAGACTCTGCGTTGATAAGGAGGAGACGGAGACAAGTGAGCATCTTCTGTGCCACTGTCCTGCCCTGGCTTACAGACGGCACAGAGTAGTGGGTGCTCATTTTCCACTGAGTCTTAGTTTCTTCTCAACAACCGAACCTGCTCTAATCTACAGCATAATTAGAAACATAAAGTGGTTAGGAACATACAACCTTGGCACGTAACACATATTCTGTCTGACTCATCGACCTTCATTCTTCTTTCATTCATTCATGTAAGATTCTCAACTCTCCTTTAATTTACTAATCTTCTCTCCCCTATAGATCTGTCTTTGGTCTCTTCTCTTCACTGTATCTCTTGTGGATGATCACAACGGACCTAACCGGTCTCAGAGTGTTGCAGTCACACATGTGTACATGGAGGTTGCTGCTTGCAGGCGATCCTTGCTGCCATTGGGTTTTTAAATTTATTGGTTGTCTTGCTTATTTTTCCGGAAGTGCTACTCGGT